ATCAAATCTGATCTTATCCGATCTCTAAATTTGTTCTTTAAACTAGATTTATATCCTGGCTGATAGTAAAATCGCTAACTGGTCTTGAAACCCAATTATGAATAAAAGAGATAAGCCAAGTGTTGTAATACGTTCAGATGCTTATACCTCTTCTAGTTATTTATTCAGTTTCTTCTTTATATTTTGCCAATATATAATTATCTTGAATTTAATGATAGGACGATCCAATCGCTATTTTATCAACATATTTTTTGCATTATTTTTTAATCTATCCCAAGGGAAGGCTTGTATTTCACGACACTAAGTAATTACGAGTTAAGAAAATCAGATATATGCAGAAGTGCGTGATTCTATTTCTATATGAATATATATGTAAATATTACTATTTATGTATGTATAGTAATAAAACAAGACAGAAAAGGAAAAAAGATGGAGACGAATCGAACAGCTTGAGTTGGTAACGAGCCTTCTACCAGTTCAGTTTGAAAATACGCGTCAACCGAGAAGATGGTGCATCTAATTAAAAACTTAAACGTTATCGGCCAGTCAGCGTGTCATTTTGAGGTTTGAAAACTGAAAAAAAATTACTGGACGACATTTGAAAAGTTGATAAAATGACATCAATATTATAATTTTAAACGGACATGTAAAATTCGATAGGCAGATATGAACAGAGAGAGAAGAGAAAAAGAAAAAAATTGCTTTATTTTTATGGGTGCAATAATTTGCTAATAGTTCGTACACAAACGAGCGCGTGCATAAATTATAATAAATTAAATGCTTGCTTATATATAATTTGAGTTACACGGATTTTGAAATTCATTCATCAAGAGACAAAAGTATTTTTGCATTTTTTGCCTCCTTCATTTAAAACCTGAAAAATTTCAAATAAAGATAAGTAAAGATTTTATTCTTCGATATTGAGCAGCGTAATTACTAAAACTGTCTAAAAATATTATCTTCGAGAAATACCCGGGCCAATCGTTTTTGCGAAACATCCTGATAGAGAGAGGGATAGAAACAGACAGACATAGAGAGAGAGATAGAAACAGACAGACGTAGAGAGAGGGACATAAAGTGACAGACGTAGAAAGATAGAAACTTGGATCTATGAAACTAGCTGAATTTCTATATGAGATATTCATTGTATAATTTTCAATCTGAGATTAATGGAGATGCGTTGGGTTAAGTGCATTGACAAAGAAGGAAATGATGTTAGAGAAATACCCACTGCGTAAAATAAATGTATGCTTACACTATTAGCATGTTGGCTATTGACTTCAACTTGTTATTACAACGTTCTTTGTCAATGCACTTAACCTAACGCATCTCTATTAATCTCAGATCGAAAATTATACAATGAATATTTCAGATAAAAACTAATCTGAAAAAATAACGGTCTACAGATTCAGAGATCCAAGTTTCTATCTATTTCTGCATGCAAAGTAAGAAGAGGAATTCTCAAAGAAATAAATTTGCGGTCGGAGTGATTTTGAGAAATATGCGAAAACTTCTGGTGAGACACGGAAAACTTTGGTAGACATGATTTATGAACAAATTTGTCAATCTGTTCAAATTTATTTTCGCTTGGAACTTATATAAAATTGTTTGTGCTATATATATATATATATATATATATATATAGACATGATTTATGAACAAATTTGTCAATCTGTTCAAATTTATTTTCGCTTGGAACTTATATAAAATTGTTTGTGCTATATATATATATATATATATATATATATATATATATATATATATATATAGTTAAATTCCCAGATGAATTATGTGGACAAGACAGATTGGTATCAAATGACAATTGGAAAAAATCTTACATTTCGCCGACGCGTTTCGTCTTCCGACTTTTTCAAGGCAAAAATGAAATCGAAATGTTTTTGTTGTTATAGTTACATTAAAAATCCAAATTTAAAAAGATAGACGCTTCTGTCTAAGCCTTTTTTTCTGGTTAATGTAAATTACATTTATAGTAAGGGATTATTATTATTATTATTATTAATTTTTTTTTCCATGTTGACAATATAGTTAAATTCCCAGATTAAGTATGTGGACAAAACAGATTGGCATAAAAAAAAAACCAAAAAACATTTCGATTTTATTTTTGCCTTGAAAAAGTCGGAAGACGAAACGCGTCGGCAAAATGTAAGATTTTTTTCCAATTGTCATTTGATGCCATATATATATATATATATATATATATATATATACAGAGTGTCCATAAAGTTCGCGTGCACTTTAAATATGTATAACTTTATTTGTATTTGCGATAGAAATAATTTGTTAAAAGGATAAGAAAGAAGTAAATCTATATTTTTTAAGGTTTTATTGAAATTTTATTTAAGCTTCCACATGTCCTTCATCATTAGCAATACAAAGGGTAATACGATTTTGCAGTTCACGGAAAATATTTGCCAACAGATTTACAGTAATGCCGGAAATCACATTAGTTATTTTAGCTCTACTTAAAACTAGGTACATTCAAATTTATAACATTTTTTACAGATTATTTCTATCGAAAATACAAATAAAGTTATAAATCTTTTAAAGTGCACACGAACTTTATGGACACCTTGTATGTTCACATTTATATTTACATACGCTCTATCTCTGATATCGAGCACTTTTTGCCATAAATATAGCACAACTTAAAACTATATTTCTTCATATATGATTTTAGACAAATGATATAGCGTAGCTCAGTAGCATTGTCATGGTTTGAAGCCAAAAGGGCAAATGTAGTCTTCTGTTTAATTGTCATTTTTAGCAAAGAGTGGGATGCTTCAACCGACTCACTCCTAACTCCATGGATATATATATATATATATATATATATATATATATATATATATATAATGGTAAAATATAGTTTTAAGGTGTGCTGTATTTATGGGTCAAATATCAATTTAATATCAGAGCGTATGTAAATATAGAAGTGAGCATTAAAGTCAACACGCAGCCACGACTGTTCCGTGATTATACGCTATCTCCAGGTCTGATGATTGCATATAAATCTGAAACAGACTGTCGCCGCTTAATGTCCACTTTATATATATATATATATATATATATATATGTGTGTGTGTGTGTGTGTGTGTGTGTGTGTGTGTGTGTGTGTGTGTGTGTGTGTGTGTGTGTGTGAGTTTCATTAAAGACTACTGGTAAAGATACTGCCATTAAGCTTTTTTATTTAACTTTTTTTGTGTTTTCTTTTCTGGAAAGTGTGTAAAATATGTCTAAATGTTCTGTGTATCCAAGCGCTTTCGGCTATTCTTTTACCCATTATCGAGAATGGCTGATTTTTTTGATTTTTAACTGAATGTATGAATTTTCTATGTATAAAATTATAAATAATAAATTTATAGGAATGTTTATTTTGTAGTCACGGTCAGTACATTTTGGCCGTATTCATAGTTAATGTTATTGAGTATTGACTTTTTTTCATTATTAATGCTTCCATTATTTTTATTTTTTTTTACATGTGGATTAGCTTTGTATTTTCTACCAGTTGATAATGGTGTTTCGTATGTTTCTGTGGTTGTTCAAATGAATCCTAACTGAGCTATGATCAGAGTGGTGTAACGTGAGTCTTCGCGATAGGCATGTAGTGGTACGTCCAATATAATTATCCCTGAGTTTAGTTTGATCAGGAACATTCCTATAATTCTAGATATATACAAAAAAAAAATCCATACATTGAGTTAAAAATTTTAAAAAATAAAATTAATCCTGTAAAATGGGTAAGATAATAGTCGAAAGCGTTCGGATATGTAAAAAATTTGAACAATTTTTATACATTTTTCCATAAAAAAAGAATATGAACACAAGAAAAATTAAATAAAAAAAATTAATCGCAGTACCTTTTCTGTCTATAATGTAACTTATATATATATATATATATATATATATATATATATATATATATATATAAAAAAAGAGAGAAGAGAGGTGCCGCGAACGTTTTTGGTTGTAATGTGGATTTATTTAGAAAAAATATTATGCTTTGTTTTACATAATTTTACGACACGTGTTTCTGGTCTCGCGACCGTCTTCAGGTAAAAGTGGAGATTTCTACATATTATTAAAAATAATTAATTTTTCTTCATGTTCAATGTGAACTATTCTCGATATGAGACATTCTCTGTTTGTGTGTTGGTAATCCGAATTTCTTTCTAGAATTCTAGAAACACGTGTCGTAAAATTATGTAAAACAAAGCATAATATTTTTTCTAAATAAATCTACATTACAACCAAAAACGTTTGCGGCACCTCTCTTCTCTTCTGTTTAATATACATACTTTTCTCTCGTTGGAACCACACTACAACATATTTCTTTTATATATATATATATATGTGTGTGTGTGTGTGTGTGATTATAAACAATGCATTTATATAAGACAAATGTAGACTATATCAGTTTTGTATGTATTCATCTACCACCTTGAATTCTCGAATTGAAGTATATATAAGAGCACGTCAGCTCTAAGCATTTTATTGTCGAAGTGAAATCCTGTTCACATAAGCGAAAAATTATCCCTGACGTATTCAGTTGCCTTCAAATACATTCGCCTCTTTCTGACCATGGGTGGTGAGGGAGAGTGAAAACTTTTATTGTCTCTTGTCATATTTTGGTCCCCCACTTTACTAATTTCAGAAACCAATAAAAACGGAACGTATCTTTATATATATATATATATATATATATATATATTTGTCTCCCTCCTTCTGTCGCACACATAAACCCGATATCTCCATTATTATTGTGTATCTTGTGGTCAGAAATGGTCCAGTGATTAAAACTCGACATTTTTGCCTGTGCGCTCGAGGTAACAAGATAATGATGAGAGTCAGGATTAAATTTCAGCTTGCATGATAACGGTTGACAAGAATGTTGAAAGGAGAGGAAGGAAGAGAGTAAAAATAAGATAATGATGGCCGGCTTCAATCTTTGGGTCTGATTCAATTTATTGTGCGTGTGAAACTATTCTGATTTATTTGAGAGATAGGTCTTTTCGCAAGAAGTTAACAGACAGAGGTAGGCCAGATATAAATTCAGGACAGCATACAAAGGTTGATAGATAAATAAATAAATAGAAATAAAGAGAGAGGCTGATGGGGAGAAGTATAAATAAATTTGAGACGAACAGGTAGAGATATGGATTAACAACGATAGGCAGATATGAATAAAGTTAAATATAAATTAACAGAGATATGAAGGGAATGATATAGACTGTTTGAAAGATACATGTGAACTGATAGATAATATAAAAGAATAACTATATATGAAAATGAGTTAGATAAATGGATAGATAGATAGATCATTCTTCGACAAAATTAAATTTTTAACTCGAAATTCTATTTGTTTATCACACAGTAACCAAACCAAATTCTCATTATAGAAAAAGAAACTACAATTATTTATTTGCATATCTAACTGAAATGATTACTGGAAAGTGAAATCGACATGGCGTGTTCAAATCCTGACCTCATCAGTTGCATTCTGTTTCTCACAAATGCTCTTGAGATTAACACGTATCTCTCTTCTAGTAGAGAGACCTGGCTCTTTAGACTTGGCAACCAGTCTAAGAGAAGGAAAAATTTGAAAGACCATACAGTCACTATTTACATTATTTGGACTATTGTCCTCATCTTTGTCGCCATATTTATTACGTTTCGGCCATTGTACGCTCCGGCCTTCTTCAGGTGGTTGGAATGTCGAAATGAACCTTTTATTTTCTCAAGGACACATGGCACAGTGAATAAACGCGTTGGTTAGATCCAGTGACAGGACCCAATGAGGGTGAGTTTAATACCCGGTGAAGGCAGTGGAGAACTTGGAGAGGGGAATTAACAGGAGATAACTGATAACTGACATCCATTAAACATGGCACGTGGAACTAAAACAGTCTACCCCAGTGAACGAAAGTTCGACATTCCAACCACATGAAGAAAGCCGGAGCGTACAACGGCCGAAACGTTGTAATAAATATGGCGACAAAGATGAGGACAATAGTCTGAATAATGTAAATAGTGTACATAATACCTCATCTCAGAAAAATAAACAGATATTGAAGGGCCGAAACATTGTAATAAATATGGCGACAAAGATGAGGGCAATAGTCCGAATAATGTAAATAGTGTACATAATACCTCATCTCAGAAATATAGACAGATACTGAAGGGCGGAAACGTTGTAATAAATATGGCGACAAAGATGAGGGCAATAATGAATAATGTAAATAGTGTACATAATACCTCATCTCAGAAATATAGACAGATACTGAAGGGCGGAAACGTTGTAATAAATATGGCGACAAAGATGAGGGCAATAGTCCGAATAATGTAAATAGTGTACATAATACCTCATCTCAGAAATATAGACAGATACTATAAAGTCAACCTCTTCACTATCTTCCCTAGGAAGTCATGATATGTCACAGATAATAAATGAAAGTAATCTTGAGTGTCATCATTGCCTACGCTCTGAAGGGACATGTCATTTTAAAGAAAACTGACTAGATATGGACAACGATACATATATCTTAATTTGTTTCGATATATCTAAGACCCCGCTCAAATAACCCGACATGTGTGGGTGTATAGATAGATGAATCTTAATAATATCGGCATAAATGAAACCAGAGTATTACAAATCTTCATACTAAGACAACGCTACAAATTCTTATCAGCCTTTCATCCTATGTTAAACAAATTGGGGCCATCAATAATTGGATGATAGTTAATTAGAAGCAATTAATTGGTCTCAAACTCTTGACATATAAATACGCTCCACAGCTTTGATATGTAATAAGATTCTGGTTGTTTTTCTTTACATGTTACGAGGCAACCAATTTTTCCAATTTGTTTCCATCAACCAAAAATAACGCTTCGCTGTTGAAATATTATTCTGTGTTATCTTAGACTAAAAGATTTAAGTAAATTTAGTTTATAGCTGACCATTTCTAGATGCTGTCATCTATTTTCTTGCGAAAAGGTGTATTCTGCAGGTTGTGGTAAAACATGTAAAAAAAAAAAATTTATATTTATTATCAGTAACTGGTATTACTCATTAACCTTCCATTAGCTTGTGTGGTATTATCACAGCATTAGTGCCGTGAGGTTTTCAAACACTATTTAACATATAGATATATCATTTAGTTCTTAGTTTTCTTGCCTTGATATATTTTCCTGATTTTGGGCACTTCGACATGGTGTAATGGTTAGCAAGCTTTTTCTCACTAGTTCAATTAATACTGAGTAGTAAGTTCGATCCTCACTGGGTACTCCACACTTCCGGTCTCGTGCAACAGCTATACTTAGAAAATGATTTTGGGTACCTCCATGTAGTGTGATGGTTGGCAAGCTTGTCTTGTTAAATAAATTACGACTGCATATTGAGTTTGACACTTACTAGGTGCTCCAGACTTTCGGCCTTGTGCCCCATCTACGCTACGCTTAGAAAAAAAAATCACAATATATTGTCTTGAGTGTTCTTTCTAGCTCTTTTTAATAAATAAAAATTAAGCATCCAAAACGTTTTACTTTGAAAAATCGAATTTAAAGGGTTCTGATAGTTACTTGAATTATCATGAAAATTTAACTTGCGAAATATTAAAAAAATATATTTAGTTTTCAAATACCTCATGAGAATAACGGAGAGTTAAAAGATAAAAACAGAAAAAAATATTTAAACAGAATGAACGGGAAATTCTGCGTCATTGTCAAAAATATTTAACAAATCGCGACATCTTTCAGAGAGATGAAATTTATTTTTTTATCATTGCATTATTCCAAAATTTTAACACATCAGCAGATTGCTATTAATGTCAACAACTGAGCACAAATAGTTATTAATAAAAAAAAATATTAATTAATGTATAATATTATCCATAATTACATGTACAAGAATGCCGTTTTTGATAAGTTAAAAAATAACCATAAATACGTAAAAAAATGCCTATATTGTCGAAAATTCCTTTTACTACAATATTTGTGTTATGTTATAATATTCATTACCTAAACAATAATAATAGTGAATATTTTTTTAAACATTGAAGTATATTTAATCAAATTTCCCTAATAGCTGTCACGATCAGTAAATCAAGTTGAAAGACAAACTAAATGAAACCATTTGCGGTATTTTATCGTATTTTAGAAAATAGATTGTATAATTTACACATTTTAAAAGGAATATTCAGCTGGTGACATTTCCTGTAATGGAAAAATTAAATAAGTAATTAAATAAGTAGATTAAATTAAATAAATTAAATAAGTAAATCATCGAAGGTAATAACACTAACGAGAATTTAATTAATGATCGCAAATCGATACAAAAGGATGAAAAATTTTGAAAAATTCCCTTGGTTTATAGATACTACTTGGGTTTTGATCAAATAGTAAACTGAGAATCGAAGGGTTATTTTTTTATTTCATGAATTATTTACGTCACTTTCATTTGCTTTTACCAAAAGACTGACAGGAACCGATTAAACTAGCAGATCTGAAGATGTTAACTTGAATCATTTATAGAATGTTACCAATATTTTATCTTAGAATTTTAAATAATTTTTTAGTTTACAATGTAGTCTACAAGTGGTAAACGGTACTTTTAGCACGTTTACCCCAAAATTTTAGCTAAACATTTTGTTGTGACAGAAAATACGAGGGTATTTTCTGAATAGCTAAAAGAGAGGTGGCCCTATCCGAAAACAGTAGGCAGGGTTTTTTGATAGAAGCAAAAACTGTCGAATCCATTAGTGATCTCTTTTTTTTTCTTTCAATAAAAATAAACAGAGATATTTATTTTTCACTTTCAAATTTCCTCTTGTCTTACTCTTTCAAGTGCATATAACCCAATGCACTTGTACATAAACAGAAGTGTACGAAAGTTTTCATAGAGAATATACAGTATTATCACGAAGAGTAAAGATTACAGGTGATAATAGATAACCAAATCTGGGTGATTGGATTACCAAAATAACTAAGCATCAGATAGTCAATGTGTTTATTTGTCATATCTGAAAGATGCAATCAAAATTAAGGTCTTTTTTGTTTTTGCTGGGCTTCAGTCAAAATTTCCAGAATTCATTTTTCTTTACCCCACATACGGTGATATGCCAATGACGCCTGTTACTACATGAAAAAGCAAGGACATATATTATTATTATTATTATTATTATTTGGCCTGCCTTCAGGCATGCATGTTTGTAAGATTAACCTAACAATCAATCATTTCTGTATTGATTTGTTAGTGATTGGTCATCTTTCACACACATATACACATCTTGTGGCTTTGGGTAACAAGCTACTTGTTTGTTTGTTTTTTAATTGTATAAGTTAATTTACGAAGCATACCTTAGATATGGCATAAGTCCGAGAGTGTGGAGCACCCAGTGAGCATCCAACACACTACTCAGTTGTAATTGATCCAGTAAGACAAGCTTGCTAAACATTTCACCACATCGAAGGGCCCAAATGATTTTCTAAGCTCAGCCTAGATAGGACACAAGACCGAAAGTATGGAGCACCCAGTGAGGATCGAACACACTACTCAATTGTAATTGATTTAGTGAGACAAGCTTGCTAACCATTACACCAAATCGAAGTACCCAAATGATTTTCTAAACGTATCCTAGATAGGACACAAGGCCGAAAGTATGGAGCACCCAGTGAGGATCGAACACACTACTCAGTTGTAATTGATCCAGTGAGAGAAACTTGCTAACCATTACACCACCTCGAAGTGCCCAAATGATTTTCTAAATGCTGCCTAGATAGGACACAAGACCGAAAGTGCGAAGCACCCAGTGAGGATCCAACTCACTTCTCAGTTTTAATTGATCTAGTGAGACAAGCTTGCTAACCATTACACCACCTCGAAGTGACCAAATGATTTTCTAAAAGCTGCCTAGACAGGACACAAGGCCGAAAGTATGGAGCATCCAGTGAGTATCGAACACACTACTCAGTTGTAATTGTACACCACGTTGAAGTGCCCAAGCTGTATACATTATAGTCTAGATTCCTTTTTTATTATCTGTGAATTTTCACTTTTCGCTAGCAGTTTCGTGTTGCCTATACAAAGCTTTGAATTCAAGGTAATTCTTCTTCTATACTGGTAACCAAACGCTAGATTGCTGCTTACCCTGCTGTTGGGGAAGGTGAGAAAAACAGATTCATATATTTCCCCAATGACAGTAGTGAGAATGAATTCGGTCTGTATTTGAACTCGACTCGTCAATTTCACTTTCCGCGCCGATAGCAGTTAAGCTACCGGCATACGTCTGCCTACATATTCCGGATTTAAAAGCAGTAAGCGTTAA